AGCATTGTTAAGTCTTTCCACCATCAGTGAAAAGATAACGCTTCTGAGTTGAAGCTCAATGAATATTAATTTCACCTGACATCAGGTGTACATTGTTTGAAACTCTCCATGTTTATCCTCCACTCTGCTTTTCTTAAGTCTCTCTATCTAAATAAGTCCTCCTAACTGCTCTTACAGCTCCACCTCATAGCCAGAACATCATGTACCATTATTGTATAATTTCTTTTTCTTTGTTTGCATTATCCTATTACCTTGAAGAAGTCCTGCAGATTTTACTCTGCTAGTCGTTGCCAACTATAAGGGGGGGTGTGCTCATATCCATTTCAAGGCCATTGAGTAAGTGCTGTCTGAAGACATTTCCACAGTTATGTGACCAGCACGACATCACAGAGCGCTATTACCTTCCCATGGAAGTGGTACCTATTTATCTACAGTAGTGGCCAAAATTGTGGAAACCTTTTGGGAAAAGTGTACAGTAGAAATGCCACCTTTGGTTAAGTTTCCACAATTTTTCTTCTAATTTCTTTATAACTGTAGCCTTGTTCACTTAATAATACTATTTTACATCACTTTCTGGGCAACCAGTCAACTCTTTGCACCATTACTTTAACTTTATTACGTTTTACAAGCTCACTAAATGAAAGAAAAGAAAAACCCAACCAACTGGATAGCGATCCCATAACACACTGACAAATGTCCTCCTCTCAGCTTCAATACATGACATCAATAACTGAATCCCACTGTGATCTGATTGGCTCATTGCCAAAACAAGATGACACCTGATTGGCTTTCTAAACACTCCTGCTCATTGGCTACAATCAGATGAAGGAAAGGTACCTGATATCGACCTAAGCAAGTTGCACCTCCTTTTTCTGGTTATTTGGCTGTAACTTTTCATAGGATACAGTACAGATAATTGAACAAACTATGTTGCATTACATTCTTGATTAAATTATCTTTCCATTGATATATAATTTTATGTTACTCCTCCTCCCAAAAAAGTGGTGTTATTAGGCATCAAACCTCAAAAATACGCTTTCCCCAAAAGGTTTCCACAATTTTGGCCACCATTGTACTTGCATTTGCATGCTTACGAGCTGCTAGGTTGGCAGGAGATGGAGCTCAGATCTCAAACCTGGGCTGCCAGCTTTCTAGCCGACAAGCCCAGTGTCTTAATTGCTAACTCACCACACCACCCCTGTTGTCTTGAAGGCTTAAACTTATGTACAAGAAATGTATTTAAAGGTCCTGTCAAAAAGGGACGAAGGGGTGGCAAGCTAGAGAGTTGTCGTCTTTTGTCCTCCCTGCAAGGCTGTTAATTTTCTTATAGCTGCTTGGCCCACCTAGAAGAAGAGGAGGACCAGCAGCAAAGTAGATGGACTCGGTTACAGAGGCAATGGGTGTACTGTTGGAAGACCTGAAAAATCAGGTTAGGGACAGATTGTCATGGAGAAAGTCTGTCCATATATTTGCTAAAAACTGACAATGATCTGATGACACATAATCAATCAATAGGGGGGGCATGATGGCTCCCGTGATTAAAGATGCTGAGCTTGTCAACTGGAAAGCTGAGAACCTGGGTTCAAGACCAAGCACCATGCAACGGGGTGAGCTTCCATTACTTGCCCCAGCTTCTGCCCGCCGAGCAGTTCGAAAGCACGCAAATGCGACTAGATAAATAGGTACTACTTCAGTGGGAAGATAACAACATTCCGTGTGCCTCAGCGTATAGTCATGCTGGCTTCAGACAATGCTGGTTAAGAAACAGAGAGGAGCCCTGTCCCCTAGAGTTGGAATCAACTGGACAGGAGATCAATAATGAATCTGAACGAATTCACGCAAATGCAATCCCTAAGAGAGAGGCAAGGCAGCTTATCATATGATGACTTGGTGTTCCTGTCTCCCATCATGTCTCCAGGTTCTTAGTTAAGGAAATCTTTCTGAAGCTGGTTCTTGAGAAATATTTTTTCTAGATGATGAAAATCCAGATAGAATTTAAACCGGAACTGTTCTTGTTAGGTATATTAAGACCTAACTATGGCAAAGAAAATGATTATTTAATATTACATGTATTAACAGCTGCAAGAATAGTATTTGCCCAATTTTGGAAAAATGAAAACCTACCATCAGACCAGATTATAATTTTGAAAATCCTAGATTGTGCAGAAATGGACAGATTAACGTTAGAGATGAAGGAGAAAGAAGATTCAAT